AGGAAAAAATGTAAATGTAAAATATAATAAATATTGTCTCATAGAGTATAATATACTAATTGTAATAACTTCCGATCATCGATCAAACATACAAAAACCGAATATGACTCATAAAAATTAAAACGTCTCATTTCATAAGTTTGTTCGCGCTACTCATAAGAACCAACGGTATACCGATAGTAGATTTCTCGTCAGAGAACAACTATTGGTATACCATAATAGAATGGTCATCAGAGGATAGCTAACCATTTAAGTATCAAACTACCATTAGTATAGCACACATTAAACCGAACAGTCTACAGAAGGCTTTTGTCTCGTTTGAATCACATGGATTTTCAAGCGTACGATTACGTGAATTTATAAGCGCATATGTATACGTCCGATACGAAATATGTATTTCTTAACATATATAAAAATTTTTTTATAGGTAATCACTTTTATTTTTGTCAGAGACAAATGAATGAAATTCAAACAATTTGACATAAAGTCAATAAATAAGAGAAGTTTTAATTGAAAATGATTTATTTAACGTGCTTCATATTATTTTATTGATGAATAATTATATAGCATTAATTTTACTATAAAATTCAAGTATGTTTAGCTTGGTTTTAGACAATTTTCATCACGGGATCCACAGCATTTACCACCATTCTGACAACAGCGACTTGGACCCGGATCTTCAGTTGCAATACACTTAACCACATCGGTATTACATTTTGTACAAGCTATCGATGCTAAATAAAAATATATGTGGAAATAAAAATTTTTTAATGAAAAGAAAGAAAGTCAACTAACATGGAATAATCCAACTAAGACGTGTACATTTATTTTTTGCGTAACAATCATCATGTATATCACAGCAGGCACCATTCGGACCACAACTATCGATAAGAGCATCACAACCAGCATAATTTCTTGAACGAAGCCTATTGGGAGTCGTTGTTGGATTACTTGTACAACAAGTAATTAGAAGAAAACAGATGACTACAGAAAATTTCATTAGAATTATTATGAAATACTGATTTTTCTGTTTCTTACAGCATGTATTTATTCGTTGCATTAAGACGGAAATAATTTGCATAAATTATTAAAACAGTTTAGTAAATAATAATGAATAATCCGTCTTTTCTTCCGTTCTTCTGTAATACCCACCGTCATGAGTCAAAAAATGAAGAAAGTTGCATAAAATTTCACATAAATCTATAACTCAGTGTAATCATAGATGGAAGCAATTCAAACAAACGAAGAAAAAGGATAGAATCCTTTTACATTTTCAAAGTCCCATTTGACTGTTTCAAGGAAGAGCATATTTACCTTCATTGTCGAGATTGTTTTGGAAATTAATAACTACAGACGAATCAACCAAATCTGATAATTCAACAGAATTTTATTCTTTTTCTTATTTCGCTAGGTTCTCTTGAATTCATTGATATTTATCATAATTTCAACACTGATAATGAAGATGTCCTTGTTTAAGATAGTAAAGTAGAATTCTGTAAAATCGTTAGATTTATTTGAATACTTTCTCTTGAGTTAATTCGAGGCGAAACAGCAGATATAACTCTAAGAGTTCAATAGGCTTCTTAAGATTTCATAAGACTTCAAGACCAAAGTCCCTGCTGTTTTTCCTTCTGGCTAATTCTGATTGACGTAGAATTCCTTTCTTATGTGTAATTGTATAGAATTACAATATATCTCAATAGACTTCATTAGACTTGAAAAGATATTAAAGATTATCAAAGCATTTCAAGAGATGTAACGTTTTCAACTCTCTAATAGAACTCAATAAGATACAGATATCAATCTAAAGTAGTTTTCAAATAGTTATAAGAAGTTTGTCAAAATGTTCTCTGTCAAATATCATACAAATGAAGGCTTGCCGTTGTTAGTTAGTACTTTTATTAAACACAACTCTCGAAATCCCTAGAAGAAAAACTCGCATTACAATTATTCTTTGCATATAAAATATTCCTTATGATAATTTATACGAAAAAATGCAAAATCGTCCTCATCTCTCTCTACATAATATATTCAATCGAGCTGAAACGTTTTTCTACAGGTACAGAATATGTCCTAGTTTCTTTTTTGTTTTGAAACATATTGCACCATTGATTTTTGAAGATACACTCAATATTTTGATCTTTTTATTCGAATGGGAGGAGATAAAAAGTAGACATTTCAAACAGTGTTTAGTATCTGTGAAAAAAACATTTCCGACTCTATCGGACATATTGTGACTTAGAAAGCGGGATGATTTTTAGTCTTTGTAATTCATCATAACTATACTTAGATTTTATTATAATTCTATATATTTTAAATAGAGAAGAAATGTTTATTTATTTGATTTTTCTTCATTTTAAATACGAAACAAGAATCGTCTAGAATAAATCACAGTATAAATGTCAAGAGTTCTATTCTTGAATGAAAAATGTTTGTTTACATTAAATTTTTGAATTAATTCATTGTACCATCATCGGATAAATCTTCTTCATCCATCATCATATTTCCCATCATATTAGGAACAAATTGTCGACGTGAAATATTTATATTATTATTATTATTATTATTATTATTGTTCAATGAACGATTTGATTGTGGAATTGAATCATCTTTAACAGACAAATTTGCTTTAATTATAGCTGAACGAAGTAAAAGAGCACGAGTTATTTTTTCTGATTGTTTTGTTATTGTTAATGCATGTTGATATGCATACCAACGTTGATCTGTATCAGCAACATATAAAATTTTATTTTTTGAATCAATACGTGCTTTTATTTTTCCTGAACGAATTAAATGAACAAGTTCATCTTCAAGTAAATCTATTGTTGTATTTAATTGATGTGCCATTGTATTCATACATGCATTTTTATATGGTAAAAAATATGTTATTATTATTCGATGACGTATTTCATAATATAATGTACATAAATGTGGTGCTAAATATTGATCTAATGCAAATATAGGTTCATATTGAGACATTAATGCAATACATGATGGATAAGATGTTTCATAAAATTTATGAAGAATATCACGTATTGAAGGTTCTAATTCGAGATATTGTTTCATATTTGGTGACATTAAAATTAAACGATGTAATTCGAATCGTTCAAATGTTGCTAAACTGCATAGACAAACATATTGAATAAGAGTTTGAGGTGAAATAAGATCCTAAAATAATAATAAATTAAATTTGTATGTTATCATAGATTTAGTGTTTATCCAGTTGAATGATATACGACCGGAAAACTCTGAAAGAGACCAGGAAATTTGATTTAGGAATTCGATGTCCCGATTCAATAGTGGAGTTTTTCTGATACCAGTTGGCTGCCGGACATAATCATCGTATTCTTATTTTCAACATCCTGCTTTTTTTTTACAGAATTTTCCTGATTCGAGACAAATAACTGTTAGTGACTTGCCCAGGATCATTCCATAGCTGAAATACTGAGTCTTGCACATGCTATGTTGTGGATACGAAGTGTAGAACAACGTAACCACTCAGTCATAAGGGCAGAAAACTTAACTATATGTTTTTGTTTAGTTTAGGTCGTCAAATGTTAAACCAGAAACAAATCCTTCGATATAGAATTATTAGAGTGGAAGACAAATCTCTTCGTAGATTATGTTATGTCAGTATCTATTATTACTCAAAAGAATATACTGAAATTTTGATCATTGATGTTTTATTCTCACATTTTCGTGTGTTCATGTAGAGAGAAATTGGAATAATGTTAAACATTTTCATTGCAACTTTTCAGATATTTGTAGAATCATGAGACCTACATCTCTTATTCAATGTTCCTGTCAATATCGCATCCTATGGTAAAAACCCAGCAGCACTTTCATAACTCTGTAAAGAGGACCTATCGAAAGTGGCGTAACTAGAATTTTGAACGAGTAGAGGTCAGATGATGAGACTCTCGGCTGGTAGGGAGGACTTAATCTTCTTTGGTTAAACCAGCACTTAGAAGCATGACTCCTGTTAGAATTATTCTGGTTTACAAGTTCTTTCGCTATGTTCAAAAGTAAAGAATCACTTGTAGACTAGCTCCCTTGTTACTCTGGTTGTAATGTGATCTGCATTTTTCTTTAAATCAGTTCTGTTATATGAACACTATTAAAACAAACAAACTACTGTATGAAAGAAGAAATATTGAATCGAAATAGACATCATAAAATAAAATCTTTCAAAGATGATTCTCAGAAAAGCGACAACTCAACGTTCAAATTCTTCTCTCGAATAAAATACTACTTGAGCAATTACACAGTTAAACTGACATCAATGATCACTACGGACCGTATCGTTTTTTTTTTTCGTGATCCAAGAATACAAACTTACACTGAATCAAAATTTACTGTTTCTTATGTTTTGTTTTTCTATTTATTAAAAAACTCTGAAAAAAAAATCAATCACTTTCATATCGAATTCTACCTGAAAATAATTTGAACAATGATCAAATGAAACACCAAGAAAATGTCGTGCAGCTAATTTATATCTTTTTGTTGCTAATTCTGCAATACCAGCATAAACTTTTAAACGTGAAGCTAAAATTGCATCAGATGTAATTATATTATTTGTTGTTGTTACATCCATTGGATTAATCATTGATGATATAGTTGATGGTGTTGTTGTTGATTTTGTTGTTGTTTCAAGACTTTCAATAGCTTGTTCAGCTTTACTAACATAAGATAAAACATTTGACCAATTTTGCATATAAAATGATGCTTTTATAACATTCATACACATTGTTATCATATGTCTTGGTGTAACACAATAATCTCTTGAACGTACATAACAACGTACAGCATTAAAAAAATCACCGGCATCTAAATAATGATCACCAAGATCATCATGACCACGACGTATTGAATCTTTTATTGAATTTGTACGAAAATTTCGTAAATCATTATCAAGTTTTTCTAATTTATTTGTATAATTACGTTGAGTTTTTTCATACCATGTTGAATCAAAATCATTTGGTAATGGTATATTTTGTTTTTTTAATTCATCAACTATCTATTTTATGAAAATAAACATACACAAAAAAACAAACAAACAAAATAAATAAACTCATTATTTACTTGTTTATAAAGTGAAATAAAATGTGTTTCTTGAATATATTTAAGACTTATTAAAAGTGCTTCAGTACGTAATGATAAACAATGATCAGCTATATATAATAAACGATAAATACGCATAAGACCTGTATATGATGATGTTATTGTTTCAAGTTCAAAATTAGTTGATGATATATTAACTTGATAATTTCCTTCATAAGATAATTTAGTAGAATGTTGTTGATTTGAAATATTATTATTTGTATCTCCACTACTACCAACGAGATTTTGAACATCCATTTGTAGATTAATATTATTATTTTCAAAATTTTTTGATAGATTCATATCTAAAAATCAAATATGATAAATCAATAGAATAAAGTTAAAATATTAATTTTTAAACATATGATTATCATTCAAATAGATACTTGTATTTAAAACATTCGTGGACGAGACTTTTTTGAAAATTTGTATAAAAATAAAGTAGATGAATGAGAACAGGTTCATGAAAGTTTCGGATTTTCATTATGAAGTTTAAATGACACTTTTCGTTTTGTTTGAAATATTCAATAATAAATTGGAAGCATAGTATTATCGTCACTCTGGTTGTGAAAATCATCTACACTAGTTCATTACTTCAATCATATCCATATCACATAAACTATTATATAAAAATGGAGACAGAAAGGGAATAGCGATTACAATAAATAGAACCGATAACATAAACGTAATCCGAGGAGTAGAAGAAAAAGATGCCATAATGATATAGTACTCGCTGCATAAGTCAATAGATGAAAGATAAGAAAATCTCAATTATTGGTATAGTCTGGACGCTAGACTAATAGAACTTTCTGAAAAAATGTTTCGATTTAGATCTTCATGATTTTTGAAAAAAAAAACCTTGACGTTTGCGTTGCCGAATTATTACACAAGTACAAAGAAGAAAATAAAAGTTTTGTGAAGTTAAAAAATAAATTTATTTTTAAACCTACACGAAATTTCTTCGATAAAAGTCAAGAATAATTTACATACATCTAGAAATCACAGATCTATAACCTGTATAATAATTAAAATTATAATATTATCATAGGAGATATTACGAGTTAATTCGAAATCGGACATATATACACAGTTTTCGTCGTGAAGAAGTTATATGAATAGTTGGAATTCAAATGAAATCTATGTTTTGAAAAGTTTTCATTTCAAAATTAAAAATGGAATAAAAAAAATAGATAACAGTTTTTAATCAAAAGTCACTCACTATTACTAAATAATAGCATAGGTCTTTCATATGTTTGAAATTGTATAACTAAACTCGATAGAAATTATGAAAATATACTACGAATTAAATCTCAAATAAAAATTTTGTTTTCTTTTTATTCATATATTCTTTTTCGAAACAAAAAATACAGTTTAGATAATAAAGGAAGGTTAAAATAAGAATCAATGATTTGTTGTTCTTATCAACCAATTGGATGTTATTATAAATGCTTATAGGGAAATTTATTCAGAAAAAAAAAAAAAATTATTTTTCATCTACAATATCAAAACGAAAACTACTGTGATTCTATTTTAATTTTATAAGAATATTTTTTTTCGTTATTATTCCATTCTTACAAAAAATTTATAGTTTTTTTGCCATAACTTTTTGATTCCAACGTTTCATCCGTCCAATTATGTCCGATTCAAATTTTCGTCGACCTCGACCACACACATCATATTATTCAAATAATTATCGTTCATCGAGAGGATCTCATTTTCATTGGAATCCTCATTTCCGTCATGAAGAGAATAATGAAATGGAACAAGAATCTAATCAAAATTTACATGCAACATATCAACAATCTTCTCTTTCTTCTTTACCTATTGCATCACATCAACAACATATGTTTACTTCTCAAGAACAATTTTCTTCTGAACATATGAAAAAATCCAATGAACATCAAAAAAATATTCGTCCTTTTCATCATAGTAAATTTTTTTCTATAGATTATATTTAAAAAAAAATAAAAATTGTTTCTAGTTGAAAATCATTTACCATATCGTATGTGGTCAAATACAGCTGATCAAGAATATTTTCGTCGATATCATCAACAATATTTTAAATTTCATCTTATTTGTTATAATATTCTGTCACAAACATTATTAGAAGATAATAAATTTTTATATGTTAATTGTTTAAGGAATAATTTAAAATGGTATCGAAGAAAAGATCGTTTATTAAGAGAATTATTAAGACAAGATGCTGATGTATGTTCGTTTGTTGTTTTTCTTTTTAAATTATTACAAAGAAATATATATCTTTTTTTCTTGTCTTCATCTTTAGATTCTTTGTTTACAAGAAATGGAAAATTATCATTATGAACATGATTTTCGACCCAATTTAATGCAAAATGGTAAGAAGAAAAGTATTGTTTTTTTTTCTGTTTAATGTTAATTTTTTTTTTTTATTCTTTTAAGGATATGATTCTATTTATTTAAAACGAACCGGTGATAAATCAGATGGATGTTGTATATTCTATAAAATAAATCGTTTAAAACTTATTGAAAGTAAAGCTGTATCATTTTATCAAAAAGATATTCGTGTTCTAGATAGGTAGATATTCTTGATTATTTTAATTATCTCAAAAACTTTTTGATAAGAGATAAAAATTACCTAAAATTGAATTCTTTGGTCTCATATTTTGATTATAAACACCAATCATGACTTGATCGGCTTTTAGACGGAAGAACTAGAAAGTCAACATAGGAAATAAATCTTATGCCGCTTGAAATCTCATGCGAAAGTTAAGTGCCGTATCTATTATCTATAAAAATTTCATATCAAACAGTATTAATTTGTTTGATTTTTAAAGTTCTCTTTCGTTAGTTTCAATATGAGAGTTCATTTGTCTTGAAGCTTTCATCAGTAAGTGCTTCACTCTAATGCAGTTTACTCTAAAAATTTTACAATTGCGACCATCAATACAGAGAAGATTCATGCTGAAGGCATTCAGGATTATTTCTAAACTACTATATGACTTATCCATGTGATTCCAACCAAACAAAAAATCGTCGGTATACCAGCAATCAAACGGCGATAGTGTTATACTTAAATGATCGGCAATCTTCTGCCGACATACCAGCGTCAGTGTGATCAAATGTATGACATAGGTTAGAAACATAAAATTTGGTGTAGGGGTGGAAGAGTACATGAGAGAATAAAGTTAAGAAGATAACATTAAAGTCGTTCAATAGGAATGGAAGTTATGTTGTAAATTCGCTAAAATATCAATTGTCCCAAAAAATTGCAATTCATTTATATCTTAATTTTTGTGAAAGATTATTCAGATAGAGATACAGACATCTATCGTATTCCTAATTTTGTCGATGCATTCGTATGATTAAAATCTTGTTAGTATTAAATTTAGTTTAATGATCTCTACGATGAAGTAAATTTATAAAGATTAAAAAATTTTCATATTTTAGAGATAATTGTGGTTTAATTGCACTTTTTCAACCAATATCTTCTAAAGTATCATCCGATGATATATTTTGTGTAGCAACAACACATTTACTTTTTTCACCAAAACGTGGTGATATTAAATTAGCACAAATACAATATTTTCTTGCTGAAATTGATCGATTAGCAACAAAAGATTCATATACAAATTCTTATTATCCAATTATTTTATGTGGTGATTTTAATTCTCATCCACAATCACCATTGATTAAATTTTTATTGAATCAATATATTAAATATGATAGCTATCGTTGTATTGAAATTTCTGGTCAAACAGAAAATTCAATTATTAAAAATTGTTTTTCTTATCAATTACCATCAAATGAACTTCTTCCATCATCATTTGTTACTTCTGATTGTCGTTTAGCAATATCAAATAATGAATCAAATTTTCAAACACATATCAATCAACATTCATCAGCAATATTAACACATAATAAAAAATTTCAATCAGTTTATGATTTAAATAATTCATTAGATATAACAACAAATTCTGGTGATGAATCAAAATTAGTTGATTATATATTTTATACTCAACAAGAAAATGATCCATATAAATTAAATTTATTAAATCGTTTTGATTTATATAAACAAAATCAAATGATTGATATTCATATACCAAATCATCAATTTGCTTCAGATCATTTTCTTTTAGCAGCAAAATTTGCTTTAAAATTAACCATGACAAATAAACAGTGATATTAATTGTACACATTTTTTTTTGTACTATTTTTAACAAAGAATATTTATTTTCGTTTTTGTTTTTTTTTTTTCTTTAATTTATAGATGAAGAACTTTAATGAAGTTTTCGATGTTAAAAATATTGAATTGAATTCATTCGTATGACCATGTAGATTTAATAATCATTGGTAGATGATCATTTTGTGAGACATGTGTATATAGAGATGATTGAAATAGTATGTAGGAATTTTAAATTAGTATTTAATTCAAATAAGAAGATCTATGAGTATAACTTTTATATGTACTGCAAATCGTACAAAAACCGGTGGTAGCCTATCGGAGTACCGATAGAATCACTGAGGAGTGTATCGCCAATAAACCGCCCGTCTTTTTGCTCTATCATTGCTGTTCTGTTTCCATATCGAAACGTATGAAAATAATTTAACTCTTCAAAAGTTCTTAGATTTGAGTCATTATCACGGTTTTCTAAGTATGTGAAATGCGTTTTAGTCGCTTGTATCAGTCATATCGACTGTTTTGATTTAGTTTTCAAGTTTGATTATTCAATAAAGATAGTCCCACAAAAATAGTCATCAGTAGAAAAATATACAGCACTATCTAACATAGTTTACTATGATATTCTTAAACCGATATTTTCAGAACAGATAATACGAAATGAAGAGAAAAATCAGTAAAAATAAATTGATAAAAAAAAATAACCTTAAACTGTTTGAATTTACGGATTTTTAAGAAGTGCTGTTAATTGGCAGGTCTGATGAAAAAAAAACGTGACATAGGAAATAATGAATGATAGAAGTCGTTGGACGCAAAACGTTGAAAGCATTAAACTTGAATATGTAATCAATTGCTTTTTGAGAATTAATATACAAATGAGATTTGTTTTCTTAATTCCGGTTAAAGAATATTTCTTATGATTTTAATTCTATAGTAATATTAAGAAATTTCCGTTTATTTGCATTCAATAGTATTAATTGTCTTTCTGAAAACTTGATTAATAGGAATGATTTATTTCAATGAGAAACAAATAAATTTAAGTGATACAACAGATAAATGAGTTTAAGAATTTTCCCTCTCACGAGGAAACGTTTTCAACTGATCATTCCGAATATGATCATAAGAAATTCCATCAGCTCTTTATATGTTGGTTTTTCAAACTAACAAATATATTGAAAAAAAATTGTTGTGGACCTACTCAGACTATAGAGTATATCGAGTTGTTTACAAGACAATAACATCTTCTATTTTCTAAAAATGAGTTTTAAATAAAATTATACTATCTTGAAGATTTTCACATTGAAATATTGATATATATATCTGTTGTATGAATTAAAACGACTGTATTGTCTGCAAAACAAAACAATTTGAAACAGAAAAAGTTACATGCAATCCGATATGCTCTATAACCTGGAAAGATCAAATTATTTTTTTGTTCGAAAAGTTTGTTAGTCTAAAAAGCCAATATATACTTCAGCTCACACTTTCCGTTCAAACTCGTTTTTTTTTAGGTCTTTCAAAGATTACTTCACTACTCTCGGAATAAAAATTGAGATAAAATTTCTAAGATCATATTCGAAAAGTACACAATGTGCTGGTCCTTACTAAATACAGACAAGATATTCTCGGTCTCGGCGGATTCGAGATCAGTACTTTTTCATTGAGGATGACATCTCTTATAGTCATGTAAGACTTACATCAAAAATCATATTCTGATGACTTATATGTTTTAAAAGTTTATGCAAATATTATTGACTAACGATCACCTCAATATTTGCTGTTACAATTTTGATTCAAAAACTAATCTTTTGTTTTCATAAACAACAGAATCATCGAACATATAACAAGATGTCTCGAACGTATTGACACTGCTAGAAAGTGATATTGCATTTTTCGCTAGCACATGTATTACTAAGCACCAAATCCGAAGCAAAAGATTTTTTTGACTAGGACCAAAAACGATTGCTCTCGTTCATCACTAGTCCTAACCCATAGCTTTTCATTTCTTGAAAACATTTTCAAGAATGCCAAAAATTAATTTGAATCTTCTTCAATCTATCAAGATATTTTATCATAGAATCATCAATATTTAACATGAAAACATAGTTGTAAAACAAAAAGATTATTGTTTCTTTTTTCTATTGAAATAAATCTTAATTTTTTTCAAATAAAATATCATATTATTTATAAATTTCTTCTAGTATGTTTGCTTTACGTCTTGCAAGTGTTTTTCGTCGTACATCATTTTTTTTCATTCGTTCATCATATCTCAGTACAAATAATCATTCTATTCAACAAATTCGTCCACCACAAACAACTCGTCTTGATCTTGATCAATTACTTGAAAGACTCGATGGTGAAGCTCATCGTCGTGGTCGATTAAATCCTGGTCTTGTACGTGGTGCAATGCGTAAAGCAGCTGTTGAACTTGATACAATTAATTCTACACAAGCTCTTCTACTTATTCGATGTACTGGTTCATTACTTGTTAGTGAATTACCAAATCAAAGACAACAAGTACTTGATCATATGATGAAAATATTTAAACAAAAACATGTTACATTTGATGTAACACATTATAATTCATATATGCGTGTATCATTACAAAATAATTATTTATTTGATTCAATGAAAATTTTAGAAGAAATGAAAAAATTTAATATTATACCAAATTTAACATCATTTCGTTTATTAAGTGAATGTTATGCACGACAAGGTCGTTCAGATGATATACAAAAAATATTACATGAAATGAAAATAGCTAATTTAAATATTGAACCATTAATATTAACAAATTTATTAAGTTCTTATGCACAAAAAGGCAATGTAGAACGTGTAGAAAGTTTATTTAAACTTTTTCATGAATTAGAATTAAAACCAATATCTGAAACATATGAACAATTTATAATTAGTTATTTAAAACATGGACAAATTGAACAAGCAAAAAAATATTTTATTGAAAATGTATCAAAAATGGATAATGAATCATTATTTCGTTTAATTATTAAATGTGCTGAATGTCAACAAAAAGATTTATTTCAACTTGTAATCAATTCACTTGATCAAAATAGTCTTGCTGATATATGTGTGAGTAGTAGGAAAATATTAAAAATTTAGGAACAAATGAAATCACTGATAAGTTTAAGTTAAATTTGAAATTTTTTAATTGGCGAATCATAATCTATGTGATTTAAATCAGTGATAGTTTGATACTTAAACGGTCGACTATGTTCTAACCGCTCCATCTAGTGCGAACAAAGGTACAAATGAAAATTCACATCTTTTTTTATTTTTATTTTTTATATTGGACAAATGCTCGTGTTCATGTTATTAAAACATTGATAAGTTTATATTTTGAGTACAGTAAGCTCAAAAATGTCTAACGAGAGAATATGCTCAACTGTCGGACGTCGTTCGACTTCATATTATGGCTACGAGTAAGTCTTGGTGAGACTAAGATAAACTTAAAAGGACTTGAGCGCTATGGCCTACCTATAAAAAGTTATAGCCGTTTAAATGAAACTTTGCCTATAGGTACGTTTGATATGTCTGAAAACTTCCACGACAACGAACATGTCTTTCTCGATATTGAATATGTCGAGAAAGATATGTTCGTTTTTGTTGAAGTTTTTAGAAATAACAAACGTGCCTATAGGCAATGTTTCATTTAAATGGCTATAACTTTTTATGGGTAGACCATAGCGCCCATGTTCTTCTAAGCCTGATTTAGTCTCACAGAGACCTATTCGTAGCCATAGTATGAAGTCGAACGGCATACGCGACGTTTGGATATATTTCCTAGTAAGTAGAAAAAAAATCATTGTTTTTTTTAATACCTCCTTTTCGTTTATGATAACTTATCATAACTATAATAGATTTAATTTGGTTCCGGCTTAGAGAAAAATATGCTAGAAGTTATTTACATGATATGTAAAAAAACTCTTAACTATAATCTTTTGTTCTGGTTCGGTCAGAATCTACAGTAAATCTTATGCAAATGAAGGTATCAAAACAGACAATGACAGTATGAATGATTAACTCCTCTAGGACAATGTTGTTTTTTAAGGAAAATAGAGTTTCTTGTGCAACCTCCGCGGAGCTACAGTCGTGGAAAAATCAATTAAGAGATATTATAAAAACATAGATATCCAAAAATATTGAGAGCTACAAAAGTGACTTTTTGACTCAATTCTTTGTCTTTACTTTTCAACATGATGGGTCTCTTCAACTTATAAATTTCCGCCTCTTTGAATCAATTCGTGACTACACAACTAATGTATATTTTCTAAGCTATAATCAAACTATTGGATGTAGATTATATTCACTATTACCATAAGAAATTAATAAAAATCTTTTTCTTTTTTAGGTTCAATATATTCTCTGTGCAACAGAATTATTAGATGCTAAACTCGATGATTACGCTTTTCTACTAGTCGATTCATTTCCAAAACGTGACGAAACTCTTCGTTTTGATGTTATTAATTTAACTATGTTAAATCTATTAAAAATTCGTTTACCAACACATCATTTTCGTCCATTTTCGGCTTTAACACTTGATGATATTAATAATAATCTTGAATGTAAGCTCTTTTCTAGAGGTCTAGGACAATTGCTCGCTAGGACACTTGCTCACATGGATGTGAGTATGGGAATGAATAAAGAGAAGATCAACGCAAGCACCCATATCCTCTGTACTGTGTGTGTAGCGTGTAGAAGAATCCATACATAGAGCTATATCCGCGAGCAACTGTTCGGCTTCTCTTTTCCATCACGATTCATTTACATTGTCTATCTATTTATTTAATTTAGCTTCTATTAATTATCGATGTGAATCAGAATCTGTTACTGATGAACAATTAAAAAATTTTCATCAATATGTACTTAAACGAGCTGAAAATTTTACTGATAAAAAAGATCGTTGGCTTGCAATTCATCAATTACTTTATCAAGCATATCAAAATTATATACCTTTACCATATATATATGCAATTTATGATATAATG